GGGGGAAACTAACCCGTGCCTGGGGGAGGCTACCCTTACCAGGGGGAATCTAACCCGTACCTAAGCCTCCCTGTTCCTTGTCCCCTAACTGCCCCCTCCTGAGACCCCCCCCACCTGTACCCTGACTGCCCAAAACCTTACACCCCCAAACCCCAGACAGCCCCCCCGAACTCCCTGACCCATCCAACCCTCCCCCCTGCTCCCTGTCTCTTGACTATCCCCTTCCAGAACCTCCCTGCCGCTTCTCTGGCCCCCGGCCCCCTTACTGTGCTGCAGAGCAGCACGCTCGGCAGCGGGGGAGGGGAGCAGGGTCAGAGCTCCAGGCGAACAGCCCGCGATCTGTGAATGTGGGGAGGGAGGGAGGAAGAGGAGGGGAGGGGTGTCAAATTTCAGGAGGGAGGAGGGGGAAGTGAGGGAAGGGCTCTGGCTGTCGGAGGCCGGCTGCTCTGTAAGCCGCGTGCACGCTCTGTATGGGGGGGGGGAGGAGGGGAAGTCCGGACATTGACAAATTCCCCCCGGACGCTATTTTTAACCCGAAAAAGCCGGACATGTCCGGGGGAATCCGGACGAATGGTAACCCTACCCTGAGTGCAGTGTTTGTCACTGAAAAGGGACGTCGCAGCTCGTCTGTTATCGCTGTTTGTCATTCCGTGTGTTAGTTATAAAGCTCCCACCCTGCACTAGGTGCATGTTAATATTGTATCCAGAACATCTGGAGCTTTTTTGTAGCAGCCCAGGGTTTATCTGGCCCCTCTGCAGTTTGCGGGTTTAACCGCTCCCCTCCCTCCACCCTGCTCTGTCCTATTTAACCTCCTCTTGGAGAGTCCCTTTTCTGGAGCTGTTTTCCCATCAGCCTTTATCATTTCTTGTACTGAAAACAAAAGTCCCATTCAAGAGCCAGATCTGCCTCCCTGGCCCCTACCAGAGGGAGTATGAAATCAGCAGGTGCCGGTGGCTGTGACACAAGCAGTTGGGAGCTGAGCACCGTGCAGGGGCAGAACCGGGGAGCTGCCCATAGAGAGGGGGAGGCAGAGGTGAGGTGAGTGTGGATAGTGGGGGGCACAATTTAAAGGTTCTGGTGTCCTGCAGCGGGGTTCAGGGCTGGCACTCAGGAGACAAAGGAGTTTGGATCTAGAGCGACTCTGGATATGTCGTCGGATGCTCTGGAATAGCAGCTGGAGACTGTTCCAGCAGAATCAAACCCTCCGGAGCTTCCAGCCGACGGGGACGGCCAGCTTGGACAGGGCCTGGTTGGCAGCACGAGACCTGTCAGGCTTCAGGACCCAAGGGAAAGGCTGGTGCAGCTGGTGCCAAGGGGCAGGGCAGGAAGGCAGGGCCTGGGGCAGACAAGTGAAGGAGGCAGAGAGCTGCCGTAGGTGAATGGCTGTCTGGGGTGGGCAGGCGAGAGCGGAGAGCCCAGCGCCAGCTGTGTTACGAGGGAACGGGGGCAGGCGCTGTGGGCGCTGGCAGTAAACGCCTGGAGCCAGCTGCCTGCAGGAGGGTGGGGAGAGGCTCTAGCTGTGAGGGACCTGCCCTGAGCCTGCAGGCAGCTGGGGCAAGGGGCAGCTGTGTGCCGGGGCAGATGTGAGCTGGGCACCTAGAGCCAGCTGTGTACTGGGGGGAGGGGGCAGGAACCAGCTGTGCAGGGGAGAGACGCTGGGCACTGAGGTCTAGAGCCAGCTGTGCACTGGGGGGAGGGAGGAGGACCCAGCGGTGCAGGGGGGTGAGCGGGAGAGAGGTGCTGTGGACACTGCCCAGAGCAGGTGCAGGCGCCGTCTCTCTGCAGCATGGCGAGGGAGCCTGGCGCCCCAGTGCCCTGCCTGCCCAGGAGAAGCTCTGGGGTGGTTTTGCTGAGCCCAGCCC